TCATTGTATATCTATGGTCTATACGAGGTGATTTTAATGCAATTTTCGGAATGAAACAGTCAGTTCGTTCTTACCTTTCGTAGGAATCAGATCTAGACGTATCGACCCGGGCGCCGAAGCAACCGGGTCGACTGCCTCGTGTTCGTGAAACCGAAGAAACTGGAACAGTAGTAATAAACTTTAGTGTTTCAGTTTTTTTTTTTGTAAACTGAGTGATAATAGTGACAAAGTGAGTATTAATTTTTTTGTAGATTTTTTTTTAATTAATGTAGTAAACCCTTCTATAACGCGGTGTTTTGTAAAATTTCTTTATTATTAATTAATTTTCATATTTGTAAAATTGTTGACCATAGTTGATAGAAGTATTTGTTAAAATTATATATATACATATATACACACACACACACACATATATATATATATATATATATATATATATATATATATGTTTAATTTGAGTTTGATTTGGGCGTAACATCAATAAAAATAGAATGAGAGTTTTTTTAAAAGTTTATTTACTTAAAATCCATACGTTTCGGCTAGCATCTTAGCCATCCTTCAGTGGTAATCAAATTAACTATAAAAATTGAAACTGAATAAAGTATATGTAAAGAAATTTCATGGAAAAACTATAATAATAATAATAATAAAACACTTACAATTTTGTATCCTAATATATCATATGAAACCATTATTAATCTTAAATCAAATCTAAACAAATCCGAATCTTAAACTCAAATTAAACATATATATCAACATCAAATTCAAGACTATTCAAATATATATATATATATATAATTATTTTAATATTTTAATATTTTGTATCAAGTTCGACCCTGAAGCACTTTGTTCCTGTTGCATAACTTTTGCAGAAGGAAAATTTTATTTAATTTTAGTTTATTTTATTTAAACACTTGTACTAATAAGGTGTATTTTATTAACATATATATTATATTAGTATATCGTCAATATAATTATGATATTTTTTTTTAAAACTAGGTACAAGTGGCATCGTGCCTTGAGGCAATTTGCAAATAAAAATTCCGCGGACTTTATCGGGAAAAATTAGTGAGGACAAAGTGTTGAAAATTCTTTTTATTTGGAATTAGTGTTTTTTTATTAGTGCTACTTAGTAGTGTTACTTATTAGTGTTACTTATTAGTGTTACTTATTAGTGTGTAAATTAATTTGAAAAGTGTTATAAGTATTTATAGTTATAAATTTTATTACTGAAGTGTATTGTTAAGTGTCTTAAAATGAATTTAGTTCCTGAAGACTTTTACGAGTGTTCGAGAATTGCAGCACGTGTTCCGGACAAAAGGTTAGTTTTTAGCTAATTTTTTTAAAGTGTAATGTCTTATGTCTAATTTTTCGAGTTTGTTATAATTTTGAGGATTTGTTTTTAATTTTTTGTTACTTGGATGCTTTATTTGATTGGTTTTTTTATTGGTAAAATTAATGGTAAGAGTATGAAGGTTAGGGCGACTGTGTTCGATGGACAATATGGCAAACGTATTTGGTGATATATTTTTCTGTTTGTGTTTAAATAATAATTAAATTTTGTTTCGGGCTTTTGTTTTTGGTTTAGTTTAGGAGAAACTAGATGAATTTACTAAAATTTTGTGTTAATAGTTTTATATGCTTTAGAACAAAATTTTGTGCAAAACGCGTTTGAAAACGCTATTATATAGTGACGTAATTTGTTAGACATTTTTCTACATCTGTATAAATAACATGAAAAATTTGTTTCGGGCTCTCTTTTTAGTTTGGTTTAAAAGCAACTAGATAAAAATCACTAAAATTTTGTATAAACAGTTTTATTAGTCTTTATATAAAGTTTTGAATAAAACGCCTTTGAAATCGCAATCATTATCGCGATCATTATAGATTAAAATTTGTAATATATGAGGAGTTAGATTAGTTTTTTTTTACATTTTATTAAATTACATGGAAAATTCTGTTTCGTGCAATCTTTTTGATTTAGTTTAGGAGAAACTAGCTAAAATTTACTGCATTTCTGCATAAATAGTTTTAGATGCTCCAATACAAAATTTTGTATAAAACGCACTTGAAATTGCATTTATATAATGACTACATTTGCAATACATGGAAAGTTTGATATTTTTTTACATTTTATTGAAAAACTCGAAAAGTTTGTTTCGGGCACTCTTTTTAAATTAGTTTGGGAGAATCTAGATAAAATTTACGAAAATTTTTTATAAACAGTTTTATATGCTCTCAAACTAAATATTGTATAAAAAACGCCTTTGAAATCGTCATTATATTAATAACCAAAAGTTATGTAATATATGAGGAGATGACTAGATTCTTTTTACATTTTATTATATAACGTGATGTATCTGTTTTTAAATATATATATTTGTATAAATATATATATATATATATATACATATATATAAGGTCATATTTTTTTTCAGTACACAGTTATAATTTTTTGGTCTAAATTTAGTGAAAGTGGATTTTACTGTTCCAACTTGACAAAAATATTCAAACCACATTTTAATTTCTTCTTTCATTTATTTATTTCATTTAATTCTTTATTTTTGAATTTGCCAATACGATTTTTTGACTGTAATTTGCCTTTCATTACATCTTAACGACTTTGGTCCTTAAAATTTTGTTCAAAACATTCTTTTTTAATTAGCTTAGTAGAAACTAGATAAAATTTACAACTAAAGTCTATATAAATAGTTTAATATAATTTTAAACAAAATCTTTAAATATAAATCCAATACGAACTCGGCCTTGCACATTGGTTCTTCGTTTTGCAAGCAAAATTTCAGTTATTTTTTTTACATTTTTAAGAATAACTCAAAAACTTTTCCCAAAACATTATTTTTACATTAGCTTAGCAGAAACGAGATAAAATTTCTTACAATCCTACATAAACACTTTTACTCACCCCTAAATAAATATTTTTAATAAATCCAATAAGAACTCGGCCTTGTGCATTGGTTCTAAGTTTTCCAAACAAGACTTTGGGACATTTTTTCACATTTTTAAGAATAATTCAAAAACTTTTCCCAAAATACTATTTTTACATTAGCTTAGCAGAAACTAGACAAAATTTACAACATTTTCCTGAAAACAGTTTGTTATAGTCCCATACAAAAACTTTAGGAATATTGCAACTTAGTTACAAATCCTACCTTCAAATTTCTGTAATAAAACTTTATGCAAATGCAATAAATGCAACAAATTTATTTTTGCATAGTATTTATTTGATTGAGTATAACTTATTAATTTAATAAAAATTTATAAACACTATTACAGTATTTTTGTGATATAAATTATAAAATATTATAAGCAACTGTACTTATAATAACAATTTACACAAATCACAAATTATTACTCATTTTTTTTTTTGGAAGACATTGGTTCTAAGTTTTGCAAGCAAAATTTCGGGACGTTTTTTTACATTTTTGAGAATAACTCAAAAACTTTTCCCAAAACACTTTTTTTACTTTAGCTTAGCAGAAACTAGATAAAATTTACAACATTTCTCTGAAAACAGTTTATTATAGTCCCAAACAAAAACTTTAGGAATTTTGCAACTTAGTTACAAATCCTACCTTCAAATTTCTGTAATAAAACTTTATGCAAATGCAATAAATGCAACAAATTTATTTTTGCATAGTAGTTATTTGATTGAGTATAACTTATTAATTTAATAAAAATTTATAAACACTATTACAGTATTTTTGTGATATAAATTATAAAAAAATATTATAAGCAACTGTACTTATAATAACAATTTACACAAATCACAAATTATTACTCATTTTTTTTTTTTGGAAGACATTGGTTCTAAGTTTTGCAAGCAAAATTTCGGGACGTTTTTTTTACATTTTTGAGAATAACTCAAAAACTTTTCCCAAACACTTTTTTACTTTAGCTTAGCAGAAGAAACTAGATAAAATTTACACTTTCTCTGAAAACAGATTATAGTCCCAAACAAAAACTTTAGGAATTTTGCCAACTTAGTTACAAATCCTACCTTCCAAATTTCCTGTAATAAAACTTTATGCAAATGCAATAAATGCAACAAATTTATTTTTGCATAGTATTTATTTGATTGAGTATAACTTATTAATTTAATAAAAATTTATAAACACTATTACAGTATTTTTGTGATATAAATTATAAAAAAATATTATAAGCAACTGTACTTATAATAACAATTTACACAAATCACAAATTATTACTCATTTTTTTTTTTGGAAGACATTGGTTCTAAGTTTTGCAAGCAAAATTTCGGGACGTTTTTTTACATTTTTGAGAATAACTCAAAAACTTTTCCCAAAACACTTTTTTTACTTTAGCTTAGCAGAAACTAGATAAAATTTACAACATTTCTCTGAAAACAGTTTATTATAGTCCCAAACAAAAACTTTAGGAATTTTGCAACTTAGTTACAAATCCTTCCTTAAAATTTCTGTAATAAAACTTCATGCAACTGCAATAAATGCAACAAATTTGTTTTCATATAGTATTTATTTGATTTAGTGCAACTTATTAATTTAATAAAATTTTTATAAATACTATTACAACTATTTTTGTGATGTAAATTATAAATTATTATAAGCAACTATACTTATTATAACAATTCTTTACACAAATCACAAATTAATACACTAATTTTTTTTCCGAAGACATTGGTTCTAAGTTTTGCAAGCAAGATTTCGGGACATTTTTTTACATTTTTGAGAATAACTAAAAAACTTTGTCCAGGACACTCTTTTTTAATTAGCTTAGCAGAAACTAGATAAAATTTACAACATTTTCCTGAAAACAGTTTATTATAATCCCAAACAAAATCTTCACGAATTTTGCAACTTAGTTACAAATCCTACATTAAAATTTCTGTAATAAAACTTCATGCAACTGCAATAAATGCAACAAATTTATTTTTGCATAGTATTTATTTGATTGAGTATAACTTACAAATTTAATAAAATTTGTATAAATACTTTTACAACTATTTTTGTGATTTAAATTATAAATTATTATAAGCAACTGTATTTATAATAACAATTCTTTACACAAATTTCAAATTAATACACTCATTTTTTTTCGAAGACATTGGTTCTAAGTTTTGCGAGCAAAATTTCGGGACATTTGTTTACATTTTTCTGAATAACTCAAATTTTTTTTCCAAAACACTCTTTTTTAGTTAGCTTAGCAGAAACTAGATAAAATTTATAACATTCTCCTAAAAACAGTTTATTAAAGTCTCACACAAAAACTTCACGAATTTTGCAACTTAGTTACGAAACCTACTTTAAAATTTCTGTATGTCGAAATAAATTCATATTTAATAATAGAACTACATGCAAATGCAATAAATGCTACAAATTTATTTTTGCATAGTATTTATTTGATTGAGTATAACTTATTAATTTAATAAAATTTTATAAACACTATTACAACTATTTTTGTGATGTAAATTATAAATTATTATAAGCAACTGTACTTATAATAACAATTCTTTACACAAAACACAAATTAATACACTCATTTTTTTTTTCGAAGACATTGTTTCTAAGTTTTGCAAGCAAAATTTCGGGACAATTTGTTTACGTTTTTAAGAATAACTCAAAAACTTTGTCCAGGACACTCTTTATTAGTTAGCTTAGCAGAAAGGAGATAAAATTTACAACATTTTTCTGAAAACAGGTTATTATAGTCCTAAGCATAAACTTTACGAATTTTACAACCAAATTATAAATTCTGCTGCGGTACATTTTTTTACATTTTATTGAATAACTCAAAAACTTTGTAAAAAAACTTTCTTTCTTATATAAATAACATACAGTGAAAAATTAATTAAAAATTTAAATTAAAAAATATTAATGACAAAAATATATCTCTTGTAAAATGTTGAAAAGACTTCGAATATTGAAAAGCAAAAATTCAAAAAAAAAAAAAAAAAAATATGTGGGGAAATCAAGCAGGCTAATGATTGTAGAAAAACATTTGGACTTGTCATTTTTGATATTGTAATATTTTATAATCAAATAAACTTTATACATTTATATTCAAGTAGAGTTTATACATTCATATACATTACTACCCCCATAATAAATATAATTTATTATTAACTAAAAATCCTTAGAACAACCTCAATCAATATTACTATAAAAATTACCCCAAAACCACCAATTTTTTCACCTCCATTTCTATCAATATTACCAGCATAGGCCATCATATGCGGTATCAAATTCTGTTCAAAAGTCCCTGTAAACAAATGGGCCCAAGGGCCATTGGCGAAGACTGCCACATCATCTCCCCCATGAGTCTCGATATATAAGGGCGCGATTCCAGGGGCCTGATAGTCCTTGTTTTTATTATCGACGACTTTTGAAAAATTTTGGCGAGTTCCATTTTTGAAGTGAATTTTGTAACCTGGACCATTGGCGTAGTTTAGGGTTGCCAGAGGAAGGTCGTCGTCTGCTTTGGGGTTGGCGAGGCCGAAGATGTCGTTACCGCGAATCTGGAAGAGATAAAAGACATATTTTGTTTAGGGGTGTGTAAAAGTGTTGATGAAGGATGATGGGAAATTTTATCTAGTTTTTGCTAAAGTGATTAAAAAAGAGTGTCCTGGACAAAGTTTTTGAGTTATTTGATAATATGTAGAAAAGTGTCCCGCGGCAGAATTTGTGATTAGGTTGCAAAATTCGTGAAGTTTTTGTTTGGGGCTGTAATAAACTGTTTTTAGGGAAATGTTGTAAATTTTATCTACTTTCTACTAAGCTAAATTAAAAAGAGTGTTTTGGGAAAAGTTTTTGAGTTATTTTTAAAAATGTAAAAATGTGTCCCGAAGTATTGTTTGCAAAACTTAGAGCAATGCGCAAGGCCGAGTTCTTATTGGATTTATTAAAAATGTTTGTTTCAGGGGTGTGTAAAAGTTTTAATGAAGGATTTTAGGAAATTTTATCTACTTTCTATTAAGCTACTACAAATATAGTGCTTACGGTAATTTTTTTTGAGTTTTTTATAAAAATGTGAAAAAAACGATCCTAATGAAGGGATCTCTTAAAACAATATATAAAGGCGAGTTCAACCTATTCAAATTATTTGTATCAATGTGTATAAAACAGTAAATATAGAATTTTTGTCTAATAAATTATATCTAGTTTCTGCTAACGTAATTTAAAAAGAGTGTTTTCGACAAAGTTTTTGAGTTATTTAATAAAATGTGAAAAATGTCCGGATTTTTTGCACCAATAGCAATTTAAACTAGGTTTTAAAGGAAAATACAAACTAGGTTTTAGAATTAATAAAAATTTTGGTTTGGAGTATATTGAGTTACTTATATGGAATGAAAGTAAATTTTATCTAGTTTCTGCTAAGTTGAATAAAAAAGAATCACCCAGACAAAATTTTTGAGATGTTTAGAAAAATGTAAGAAAATGTCTCAAAATCTTATATTCAATTAGAACAATATATAAGAGCGAGTTCACAATTAAATTAGCAAGAATTTTCATATATGACAATAATAAACTGTTTATAGAAAAAATAGTAAATTTTATCTAGTTTCTTCTAAGCTAAATGAAAAAAAGTGCCATGGACAAAGTTTTTGATATATTTGAAAAAAAAAATGTCCCGAAATTTCGCAGCACATAAAAGGGCATGTTCAAATTATGTATTAAAATTAGCAAAATTTTTGTATCGACTATATTAAACCGATTATATGGAAATTTAGTAAATTCTATCTAGTTTCTGCTAAGCTAATTAAAAAATAATGTTCTGGACAAAGTGTTCCAAAATCATATATTGTAAATTTGCAAAATACATTAGGGCGAATTCAAACTATTCAAAATTCTTGCATCAACGTGTATAAAACAGTTCATATGAAATTTTTGTATATTTTATCTATTTTCTGCTAAACTAATTAAAAAAGAGTGTCCTGGACATAATTTTTGAAATATTGAGAAAAATGTAAAAAATGTCCTGAATCTTTGTACGTTAAACTATTCTTAACCGTGAATGAGGAAAATTAGTAAATTTTATCTAGTTTTTCCTAAGCTAATTATAAAAACGTGTCCTGGACAAAGTTTTTGAGATATTCAGAAAAATTTAAAAAAATGTCCCGAATCTTTGTACGGCATGCGACATTAGGACAATATATAAGGGCGAGTTCACTGTGGATTTATTCAAAATTTTCATATAAACTATTTTTAACTATGAATGAGGAATTATAGTAAATTTTATCTAGTTTCTCCTAAGCTAAATAAAGATACTTCACAAAACGTAATAAAGTGTCTCAAATCCATATATATTTTATATAAGCGACTCCTAAATTCAGGCGAGTCCAAATATAAGGTTTACGTACACTTTTTTACTTTTGTTCAAGCAACTTTTAATTTTCTTCCCGGACATTTTAATTTGGATACATCAGTAAAAACTAGACAAAATTTACTAAAATCTAGTATAAACTATTATATACACTTTGATATAAAGTTTTTGAATAAAATCAGTTGTGTTAGAGGCTTTATTATATTTCGTTGGTTTGGTTACTTTTTATATAATTTGATTGAATTTCTTTTACCACTTACCGGGTATCCTGAAATGCTCAATGTATGTGCATGATCGGCAGTGACAACTATCAAAGTCTCATCCTCACTTGTTTTATTCAAGGCTGTGGTGACAGCTTTTGCCATTTCTATTGTTTCATCCAAGGCTTTGCGTGGTTTTGTTTCGTGATGGGCATGATCGATCCTACCACCTAAAATGTTAGCCACCAGAAATAATAATTCATCAAACACAAGGGATTTGTATTTAGTTACCTTCGACAAACAAAAAGAATCCTTTCTTCTCCTTGCCTAAAATATCAATAGCCTTTGCAACCATTTCTGCTAAACTAGGCTCTTTGCTCTCCAAATTACCATCGACCACATCCAAATGGTACTTGCAGTGACTACTCTCGAACAACCCGAGTAAAAAGTCAGTCTTGTCAGCATCCACAGCATCCAGTTGCTTTTTGTTCCAAACGTACTCACTTTTACCCTTTTTACCCATCTCGGTTTTCCATTCCTCGATCAAATTTCTACCATCGCTCCTTTGACCAAGTTCTTGTTCCTCATCGTAAGTATTGTTGGGTAAAAATTTACCGCGTCCTCCGCCCAGGATGACTTTGAAATTTTTACCAGGTTCCTGGTGAATGAGCTGGTGGGCTATGTCTCTGCATTTTAAGGGATCGGCTTTGCCCTTTTTAATGACGTCGGTGTCTGATTCCCAATCTCGGTCTGCTGTATGGGCGAAGGTACCGGCTGGTGAGGCGTGGGTCACTCTGGTGGTAGTAACAATACCTAAAAGTAAATGATATACACATACATATATATATATATATATATATATATATTATAATTCAAAAAATCCGAGACAATTTAAAACTATGCTTGCGGACCACATTAATACTTTAAAACATAATATAGACTTTTGTAACCCGACTGTATTACAATTCGAACAAAAGTTATTCAAACGAAGAATTATAAAGGGGTCTTTTTTTTTGACTATTTATAACAATAAGACAATAAATAAACGGAATGAACTTAACACGCTGTGCGACACAAGTCTCTTTTATTTAGATAGCTTTTCCAAATTTTTCACAAAATAATAAAAATGTCGTGCAAAGGATTCGCAATTCGTTCCGCATATGTGTTGAAAATTGGTAAAATGATTTTTAAAAAGTCCTTTCTCCATTATATCTTCAACCAGTCTACGAATAACACACTATCCAATCGTGATTTTTTTTTTAAATTAGTATTTTGTGCAAATATTGTGTATTTACAAGTTTAATGTTTATAATACATAGTGTAGTGCATTACCATATCCTGATACCATGGATTATTAAAATTTTCCAATTTAACAATAAGATCAACTAATTGTAAGTACTTTTCACTCTTTTTATTTTTTTCTTTTCATTCCAATTCAATTGTTTTAGTTTTAATATTATTTTTAGTTTCTACTCAATGCAGGCTTGAATTATAGCCGAAACGTATGGATGTAAAATAAATTTCACATAATAATTTAGAGGTAGATTCTCCGATAAAATAGAAATGTTACGAATCTGTGTTTGTTTGAGTTTGTAGAAATGTTTCCTGTACGATCAGGCGGTTTTACGTGTGAAGTCTAACTTCATGTATTTGTTATCAAAAAGAAACATTAGAAAATTGCACTTATGATAAAATTGGTTTTTGTGGTTTGTGCGTTTTGTAGGTTATAATTTATGTGCAAAATATAAGACAGTAAATAGAAAAGGGACTCTACTGACGAGCAACGTGACATAGAAAAGGGACTCTACTGACCAGCAAACTGATATTCTTCACAAAAAATAAATCAGATTTTACCAGTGATGAAATTAATTAGCAACTTAGAACTATACTGACAAGCAAATTGAATAAGAAGACAATTTTAAAAAAAAAGAACTCTACTGACAAAACGTAACATAAAAAAGGGACTCTACTGACAAGCAACAGAAATAAAATAACAGTGAATTAAAAAGGACTCTACTAACGAGCAAAGTAAAATAAGATATTTCACAGTAAAAGGACTCTACTGATGAGCAAGCTAAAAATGATTAAAATTGTATAGAAAAAAGACTCTACTGACGAGAAAAGTCAAAAAGAAAAGAATTTTATAGAAAAAGAATTGACAAGCAAACTGAAAAATAAGACAATTTTATAGGGAAAGGGCTCTACTGAGGAGCAAATTAAAATGAAAGACATTCTATAGAAAAGGGACTCTACTGACGAGCAAAACAAAACAAAGTCATTTTATTAAAAAGGTACTCTACTGACGAGCAAACTAAAAAAAAGAGTAAAATTGTATAGAAAAAAGACTCTACTGACAAGCAAACTGAAATTAAAGAGAAAATAATAAAAAGGACTCTACTGACGAGCAAAATAAAATAAAAGACAGTAAATATAAATGAATAAAATTAAAAATACGGAAAAAGAAGACAATTTTTTAAAAAAAAGATTCTACTGACGAGTAAATTCAACAAAGGCAATTTTATTTAAAAAGGACTCTACTGACGAGCAAATTGAAATTAAAGAGAGTAAATAGAAAAGGGACTCTATGGACAAGCAAATTAAAACAGAAGACAATTTCATAGAAAAAGGACTCTACTGACGAGCAAACTGAAAAAATAATAAAATTGTATAGAAAAAGGACTACTGACGAGCAAACTGAAATAAGACATTTTATAAAAATAAGAACTCTACTGACGAACAAACTAAAACAACGATTGTAAAATGTAGAAAAATGTTTTGTGAGTATTTTGCAATAATATATATAAGACCAGTTCAAACTAGGTTTTACAATTTTTTTTGCTTTTGATAAAAAAAAATTTACTTTTCATTCTGGATATCAAATTTGTATACACCAGTAAAACTAGACAAAATTTACTAAAATCTAGTATAAACTATTATACACACTTTAATATCAAAATTTTGAGTAAAATCAAGTACAAATCAATACAAGTCATTTTAACTTGTAATCGCACGAAAAAGTCACTTTTATATTTCGACTGTAGGTACTACTTTATAAAAAAGGACTCTACTGACGAGCAAACTTACATAAAAATCACTATAAAAGGGACTCTACTGACGAGCAAACTTACATAAAAATCACTATAAAAGGGACTCTACTGACGAGCAAACCTAAATAAGACAGTATATAACAAAAGGGACTCTACTAACGAGAAATTGAAATAAAAAACGCTTCTATTGCCCTACGGTTGTTCGGTTGTATAAAGAAGTTTTGCTTCATTTTTTACCTGTGGCTTTTCCTTTATCCTGTGCCCACTTGGCAATCGAATGGACATGATTATTAGTATCTGCCATAGTTTCGCAATTTTTTCTGGTGACATTTGCACTGACACCAATTGTGCCATCGTTCGCTTTGATGCCGCACAAGTAGGCGGTGGCGCTGCAAGCGCTGTCTGCGGTTTGGCCATCTACACAATAAGTCTAGAATAAAAATATATTAATCAGTCAAAAACAAATTACCAGAAATTGGTAAACTTATAATTAGAACAAAAAGATCACAGATATATATATATGGGCTTTTTTTTATATTTAGCAATATATTTACAACTGTCCTACATAGACATTAAGTAAATCTTTTGGCAATTATATATAAAAAAAGGACATCGATATATAAATAGTGAAAAATATACAGTTGCATTTTTCTTTTATAAAAAGTAATATAATGTGACACGAGTAATTACAATCTAATCAAATCACTAAATATTTTTCTTTTAAGTCATCGTTGGGCGGTAAACTTATAATTAGAACAAATCCGCTTTACTCTGTATGAGTGTTTTCAGCATATCACAGATGGTGCTGGTGTGCTTCAAATTCAACGTAAGACATAGTCTCTCAAGATATAGTACACGCACTTTAAACGTTCAAGTACCAATTTTATATATTGCAACATATCATTTTTGAATGAAAATAATGTTTATTATATATTTTTTACAACATATTTGTGATTTTGTTAAAAATATATTCTACACGCGTATATTTTGTTCTCATTTTATTTAGTCAAATTAGTCAGGTTAAACTTTTCTATAATATATATTTATGCCGATTTTGTTGTCACTTATACCATTTTTGTCACCCATGCCATTTTGTGTCGTCATTTATGTCATTTTTGTCATTTATGCCATTTTTGTCATTTATGCCATTTTTGTCGTTATTGATGACATTTTTGTCATCATTTATGCCATTTTTGTCATTTATGCCATTTTTTTGTCGTAATTTATTTGTCATTTTTGTCATTTATGCCATTAATGCCAGTTTTGTCATTAATGCCAGTTTTGTCATTAATGCCATTTTTTGTCGTAATTTATGTCATTTTTGTCATTTCTGCCATTTTTTGTCATTTATGGCATTTTTGTCACATATGCCATTTTTTGTTGTCATTTATGCCATTTTTGTTGTCACTTATACCATTTTTGTCGTCAATTGTCATTTTTGTCATCTATGCTATTTTTTGTCGTCATTTATGCCATTTTTGTTATTTGTCATTTTTGTCATTTATGCCATTCTTTGTCGCATTTTATGTCATTTTTGTCATTTATGCCATTTTTGTCGTAATTTATGTCATTTATGCCATTTTTGTCATTTCGTGACATTTTAGCCGTAATTTATGTCAGTTTTTTCTTCATTTATGCCATTTTAGTCGTAATTTATGTCATTTTTGTCATTTCTGCCATTTTTTTGTCGTTATTGATGCCATTTTTGACTTTTATGCTCTTTATGTCATCATCCATTCTATTTTTGACATCTGTCATTTTTTGTCGTCATCTATTGCCATTTTTATCGCTTTGTCGTCACTTATTCCACTTATTTTACTTATTAATTTTATTATTATTATTATTTGCTTTTATTTTATATTAAATCAACATACTACGGATATCATTTTATTGAAGATTCTATCCTTTATTTTGTACTCTTTTCATTTATTTAAATTTATGTTATTGTTCATTACTGTTAGTAGATGTTAAATTATTTAGCAGTTGTAACAAATATAGTAATTAAAAAAAAATATATTTCATTTTGAGATATATGCCATTTTGAGATATATGTCGCCACTCACCGTAGCACGTAAATTTACTCTTAGAATTAATTCTAGATAAGATATATTTAAATATATAATATAGGAAAGATAAACCTGATTAATTTGACTAAATGAAATAAGAAGAAAATATACGCGTATAAAATATATTTTCAACAAAATCAAAAATATTTTATAAAAAAAATATGTTATGAGAAAATTTTAAACATTTTTTCATTCAAAAAAGAATATATTTCAATATGTAAAATTGATAAAAATGGCATAGATTTTAACAAAAAAATGACATAGATGACAAAAATTGGCATATTGAAAATATATTTTTTACGCGTATATTTTCTTCTAATTTCATTTAGTCAAATTAATCAGGTTTATCTTTCCTATATTATATATTTAAATAAATCTTATCCTAGAATTAAACCTAAGGGTAAATTTACGTGCTACGGTCGGTGCCGACCTCTATGAATTCGGAAAACAATTAAAATTGAGGTAACGTGATTGCGATCTATTTATACTGTTTACCTTTGATAATCCGGTGTAAGGGAACTTCTCAAAAGACAACTCTTTATTTTCGTTTCCCAAGACAACTCTGGCAGCTGCCAAAGTCGGTATGGACATCCCGTCTCCCAAGAACATGATGATGTTTTTGGCTTCGTTTTTGTTTAATTTGCGTTTTACATGATGTTTCAATTGTTCTTTTGCCTTGGTCCACCAGAAATTGCCAAGTTTTTCCTCATTTGGGACGATTGCTCTCGAGTAGTCTATTACTGGATGTTCTGGATCTAAGTAAAATCATAATTAAAAAATAAGAAATTTATTCATAAACGATTTGCTGAAGGGTCTTTTATTAAACTATGTATATGACTTGAAAGTAATAAACAAACGCAATGACCCTCAGTTTGCTGTGTGTTACAGACATTTGTTTCTTTTGGATTATTTTTCAAAGTTAAGCAATAAAAATATGTGTATTTAATTGCAAAGATAAAAATAATGTAAATTTAATTTGTTTCCAAGCGCTTTTATTATCTTTAATTAATTTAATTAATATTTATATAACACTGAAGTGTTTATTATCTTTTACAAGTACACTTGTCTTTATAAGTACCTTGCACATGCTTTCAAGGCCAAATTTCAATCGTTTTAATAATTTTAAAAATTGAATAATTTATTCATATCAAAAATCAAAATTCATTAAATTATATTAACTGAGCCGAGATTTGAACCGGATGATTATACGTATCTAGTTTGACAGTTTGCAGACTTTCTGGTTTAAATTTCAAAATTTTCCAAAAACACTCATTAGTTTTAGTATATGCATTAATAACAGATACTTCATAGAATATTTGTGCAAAATTACACATTTTTAGTAATAACCATACGCACTAAAGACTTGATTGAAATTTGTCCTTATTGTTAGTTTTTTTTTAATTTGGTTGGTTGCTCTAGAATTTTTAAACAATTGTGTAAATATTGCAGAATTTTCCAAAAAAACTTATCAATTTTACTATTTGTATTGATAATATATACTTTAAAGAATATTTGTGCAAAATTACATGTTTGTAGTAATATCCATGTGCACTAAAAGCTTAATTGAAATTGCCCTTAGTTTTTCCAACTTGGTGTGCTTGCTCTAGAATTTTTAGACAATTGTGTAAATATTTCAAAAATTTTCAAGAACACTTATTAGTTTTAGTATTTGCATTGATAATAGATACTTCAAAGAATATTTATGTAAAGTTATACGTTTGTAGCAATAACCATATGCACTAAAGACTTTATTGAGATTTGCCAATAGTTTTTCCAATTTGGTTGGTTGCTCTAGAATTTTTAGACAATTGTGCAAATATTTCAAAAATTTTATAGTATTCTTATGAGTTTCAGTACTTGCATTGATAATATATACTTTAAAAAATGTTTGTGCAAAATTACACGTTTGTAGTAATAACCATGTGCACTAAAGACTTAATTGAAATTCATCCTTAGTTTATCTAACTTGGATGGTTGCTCTAGAATTTTTAAACAATTGTGTAAATTTCTTAAAAACTTTCAAGAACACTTATTGGTTTTAGCATTTGCATTGATAATAGATACTTTGAAGACTATTTGTGCAAAATTACAAGTTTGTAGTAATAACCATGTGCACTAAAGACTTAATTGAAATTTACTCAGTGCTTATCCAACTTATGGGTCGCTCAAGCATTTTAAGACAATTGTGCAAATATTTCAAATTTTTTCAAGAATACTTATCAATTTTAGTATTTGTAATAATAATAGATACTTTTAAGAATATTTGTGCAAAATTACACGTTTATGATATAAATAAATTACGTTAAAAATAAAATTTTAACCATGCATGTAATTGAACTCAATTTTTGGGACATTCTTTGACATATTATTTAATAACTAAAATTTTCCCAAGAAAACTTATCAATTTTAGTACTTAAATAAAAAATAGATATATCAATAAAAAATCAGTTATAATTACAAAGCTCTAGCACAAATATTCAAATACTAAAAAAATATTTTTTAAATCTATCATTTAATTACCTCTATCGATCTCTCTTCCAGAACACAAAACACTCAAAAATACCAAAAAAATGCAAATTTTCAAAAACATTTTTTCTTCTAAGCTAATTTTAACACAACGTTCAACAAACTACAAATATGTCCACTTGACAACTAATAAGCCTTATAATATATATAGTAAAGATAAAAATACTTATCTTAACTATTGTTGTAAAACACTTTTTATAATACTTTGTATTAGATTTAGAAATTAAATCTCGAGTGTTAGATAAAAAGATTATATAATTTTTTTTTAATTTTTGTATATGATGCTCGAAGTGAGGTGCAAGATATACTTTTGGTTCAACATTTTTTTGGGTCTTCTAGTGACCACATAAAAATGGTTTTGTTATATGCTGGTTCATAACTTCGCTCAACCAACAAAATGTAGTATTTTTATGGTTTATATATTAAATGGCAGCTTTTTATTTAGATTGTTCTATTTTTTTAACTTCAGTTCACTTTTTTTAAAAGTTCTTAAAAAAAATATTGAATTTTAATTATTTTCTGAATTTCGGATTTATTTTTTAATCTTGAATTTAATTATTTTTAAGTCCCAAATTTACAAAATTTTGAAATCTGAAACTTTTTCATTTACAAACCTGGCACTCTTTCATTTTAAAACGTGAAAATTTATTTTGTGGTTGTTTATTTTTAAACGTGAAACTTTTTTATTTTTAAACCTGGGACTGGTGAAAATGTTAAATTGTTAATTTGGAAATAGTTAATCTGAAATTAGTTAATTTTTATACCGGAACTTGTTTATTTTTAAACCTGGAACTCGATAAATTACAAACTTAAAATTCTTATTTTAAAATTATAACTATTAATTCTTAAACCTGGAACTTGAAAAAAACAAACCTGGAACTTGTTAATTCTTATATCTGGAACTATTTAAATTTTAAAACCTGGAACTAGTTAATTTTCAAACTTGTTTATTCACAAACCTGGAACTTACTTAGTAATTCATAAACCTAGAATTTTAAAAGCTGCAACTTGTTAAATTTTTAACCCTGGAACTAGTTGAATTTTTGAACTTGGAGCTACATAGTCGAATTTTTGAACCTGGAACTTATTTATTTTTCCTAGCCTGGAACTGGTTAATTTTTAAGCTTGTTTATTCACAAACCTGGAACTTGTTAATTTTTATATCTAAATCTGGAATTAATTGAATTTTTGAACTTGGAGCTACATAGTCGAATTTTTGAACCTTGTTTATTTTTTGAACCTCGCACTTGTTAAACTTTTAAGTCTGGAACTCGCTTAGTAATTTACAAACCTGAAACGTATTAATTTACTGGAACTTTTCATTTTCAAATCTGAAACTTTTTTATATTTAAACCTGCAATTTTTTTATTTTTAAACCTGAAACATTTTTATTTTTAAACCTGGAACATTTTTATTTTTGAATCTGAAACTTTTTTATGCTTAAATCTGCAACTTTTTTATTTTTAAACCTGAAACATTTTTATTTTTAAACCTGGAACTTATTTATTTACAAATCTGAAATTTGTTAAATTTTTAAGTCTGGAATTAGTTGAATTTTTAAGCCTGGATTTTGTTAAATTGTTAAGTCTAGCACTTGTTGAATTTTTAACCGTTGAATTTTTAAATTTGCAATTTGTTTATTTTTAAACACAAAGCTTAAATTTTTAAGCCTGGAACATGTTAAATTTGCAATTGGTTTATTTTTAAACACAAAGCTTAAATTTTTAAGCCTGGAACATGTTAAATTTGCAATTGGTTTATTTTTAAACACAAAGTTTGAATTTTTAAGCCTGGAACTTGTTACATTTTTAAGTCTGGCACCTGTTAAATTTTTGAACTTGTAACTTGTTAAATTATTTAATCTGGAACTCGCTTGGTAATTTTTAAGCCTGGAACTTGCTTGTTTATTTTTAAGTCCGGAACTTGGTAAATTTTTAAGCCTGAAACTAGTTAATTTCCAAACCTGAGACTTATTTATTGTTTAACTTGTAATTTGTTTATTTTATAACTTGCAATTTGTTTATTTTTAAACCTAAGGCTTGTTAATTTACAATCCTGGAACATGCTCACTAATTTACAAATCTGGAACTTACTAGTAAATTGGTAATTTACAAAACGTTATTAATTAGAATGCAAATTTCAGGTTTTTCTGACGTTTGTAGGCATTCTGAATCGTTTTAGACCAGAATAGGGAACAGTTTGTATATATTGTGAATATTTAGATCATTTGTGTAAAAAATGGCTGCGCCGATTTCTAAACAAACAATTTTTCTTTACCTTTATTTGTACGAAGTTTAGGTTTTTTTAAATTTTGATTTTTTGATTTTGAATTTTAAATTGTTTTTGAAGTTTTGATTTTTTTTATAGAGTTACAAATTGATTGTGTGTTTTGAATTCATTTACTTATTAATTTTAAATTTACATTTTATGATCCGATTTTTCAAGGTCGTATCAAGGTCAATTAACCAGTTTTAGGTTAATTAACCAAACCAAACAGAAACATGTTCTTGTGCAAAATTTATGACAATCATAAAATTTTCAAAATGACTTGCCCGAAATATTTATGCAAATCGTGAATTATAACAGTATCCTCCTTAAATCACCAAAGTCATTGGTAAACAAATCATTTGTATATAATATAATATATTATATACAAGCAAAAAATAGACATTTTTATAAAAAGGACTCTACTGACGAGCAAAATACAAAATGAATACTTGAAAAGGGACTCTACTGACGAGCAAACTAAAATAAAAAACTTTTTTAGAAAACGTAAATGTAATAGAAAATTTTCTCTAATAGAGTAGAAAAGAGACTCTACTGACGAGCAAACTAAAAAAGAAGACAATTTCATAAAAAAGGACTCTACTGACGAGCAAACTAAAATAAACTAGCTGTAAGTGGAATTCTGTCTTAAGGCAATTAGGGCATCGTGCCTTAAGGCAAATTGCTGGAACTTCCCGTACCAAAAATTATTATTTTTTTTTAAAACGATTAACATTTTTGAAAAAAAAATTACTTTGAAAAAATAAGATTTTTGAGAAACTATAAATTGGACAAAAAATTAGTTTTTTTTGAAAAAAAAAAAATTTTTTTTTAAAAAAAATTTTTTTTTGTTGAAAAAAAAATTTTTTTTTTTTATTTTGACATATTGTGGAAGATCTGAACTGTTTTTTCAAAGCAATCGTACTGCTTTAACTACATAGGGACAAAATATAAAGCGCGTAAGCGCCGCGTCGCTGTCTAACGCATAAGCATTGGTACGGAACCGATAGGAATGTTAACAAAATGTATACTTATTGTTAAAATCTCTATAAAATGTCTGATAATTTGATGTGCATATGTCTAATGATCATTTTTGACCGCCAAATGGCTCATTTTTTTACTTTTTCCTCTATATCTCCGAAACCGCTGGACCTACCTTCATGAAAGTTGTATCGATTCTTCATCTTGTCAATACAAATAAAATGTTTTTTGAATTATTAAAATCGGACGCTCCATTCTCTTAAAAACTGAGTTACCGTTTTCGGAACTTTTTGCCCCGTATCTTCGGAACGGCTTGACCTGCCTTTGCCAAAAACTAATCAGCACGTCTCCTTACCAATACGGATCGAATGTTTTTTGAATTATTCAAATCGGTTGATCCGTGTTCCCGAAATCGCCGACGAAAATTTGTATCCGCACATACATACACACACATACATACATACACACACACATACACACACACATACACACACACACACATACATCCATTTTTTCTAAGGTATGCCAAAATGTTCAGAAACCTCTGAAACGTAAAGATATATAAAAATTTTCATTCTCGATTTTTTTGCGATTACTATAACTTGCCCTACGGGAAGTTAAAAACTTTTTTAGAAAATGTAAATGTAATAGAAAATTTTCTCTAATAGAGTAGAAAAGAGACTCTACTGATGAGCAAATTAACAAAGAAGACAATTTATAAAAAAGGACTCTACTGATGAGCAAACTAAAATAAAAAACTTTTTTAGAAAATGTAAATGTAATAGAAAATTTTCTTTAATAGAGTAGAAAAGAGACTCTACTGATGAGCAAATTAAAAAAGAGGACAATTTCATAAAAAAGGACTCTACTGACGAGCAAACTAAAATAAAAAACATTTTTAGAAAATGTAAATGTAATAGAAAATTTTCTTTAATAGAGTAGAAAAGAGACTCTACTGATGAGCAAATTAAAAAAGAGGACAATTTCATAAAAAAGGACTCTACTGACGAGCAAACTAAAATAAAAAACATTTTTAGAAAATGTACATGTAATAGAAAATTTTCTCTAATAGAGTAGAAAAGAGACTCAACTGACGAGCAAACTAATAAAGAGGACAATTTTATGAAAAAGGACTCTATTGACGAGCAAACTAAAAAGACAGTAAATAGAAAAGGACTCTACTGACAAGCAAACTAAAAAAGAAGACAATTTCATAAAAAAGGACTCTACTGACGAGCAAACTAAAATAAAAAACTTTTTTAGAAAATGTAAATGTAATAGAAAATTTTCTCTAATAGAGTAGAAAAGGGACTCTACTGATGAGCAAATTTAAAAAGAGGACAATTTTATAAAAAAGGACTCTACTGACGAGCAAACTGAAATTAAAAACACTTCATAGAAAAAAGACTCTACTGACGAGCAAACTAAAAAAGAAGACAATTTCATAAAAAAGGACTCTACTGACGAGCAAACTAAAATAAAAAACTTTTTTAGATAATGTAAATGTAATAGAAAATTTTCTCTAATAGAGTAGAAAAGAGACTCAACTGACGAGCAAACTAATAAAGAGGACAATTTTATGAAGAAGGACTCTATTGACGAGCAAACTAAAAAAGAAGACAATTTTAACGGAAAAGGAACTCTACTGACGAAATCAAACAAAATGATTTACCAAAACAATTTTATTTACTATCTACAAATCATTTCTGCCAATATTAGCCGCATACGCCATCATATGCGGTATCACATTCTGTTCATAATTTCCTGTAAACAAATGGGCCCAAGGGCCATTTGCGAAAACTGCCACATCATCTCCCCCATGAGTCTCTTCCACCAAGGGTGCCAAAGCCGGTGCCAAATAATCTTTGTCTTTGGTGTCGATAGCCTCCAAATAGTTTTTGCGACCCCCAAATTTATTGACGTGCATTTCGTAACCTGGGCCATTGGCGTAGGTCAGGGTTGCTATTGGGAGGCGGTCGGTGCCTAATTTGGCCACACCGAAGATATCGTTACCTCGATCCTGGGGGGGAAAATAGTGATTAAATAGTGGTGTATGGCATCGTGCCTTAAGGCAAATTGCTGGAACTTTCCGCGTACCGTAATGAAATATTCGAGAAATTTTAAACGTTTTCAAATATATTATTACAAATGCTGTAACTTTCATTATTTTTGCAATCTTGTTATATCTGAGTGAGCAAATGTAAATCATAAATCAATTTATCAATATTCATTTCATTTCGAATTCAATTTCAAAAAAAAATAGTTGCCCAATTCACACAAAATTGAAAAAGTGCCCCCGTACAGTCACAGTCTAAACGCACTTGCAAGTAATTTTGTGCGACGTTATCACTTAGACTGTGCTTCGCTTGGCGGCATTTTCACATTTTTCAATAGTTTTCACGAAATTGGAAAATCGTTCCAGTACATAAACAGTCTAAACGCACTCGGGTAAACATTTGTACCAGAGTGACGCTTAGACTGTGCTTAGTCTGGGTGATTTTTTTAATTTTTAATCCAGAATTACAAATAGAATAAATTTTTTTAAATAAAGGATTCTACTGACGAGCAAACTAAAATAGAAGCCAGTAAATAAAAAAGGAATACACGATAATCCAAATTTGAAATTATTTTTATGAATGAACCATTGGTCTTCCACAGCCCTACATTGTTTTAGTATGTTCTTTAAGACCAGGAACACTATCGAGTAAAAAGGGACTCTACTGAGGAGCAAACTAAAATAGGTGATATTTTGTAAAAAAGAACTCTACTCGACGAGCAAACTAAAAAAATAGACAATTTTATAAAAAGGACTCTACTGACGAGCAAAATCCAAATTGAATACTTGAAAAGAGACTCTACTGACGAGCAAACTGAAATAAAAAACATTTTTTAGAAAATGTAAATGTAATAGAATATTTTCTCTAATAGAGTAGAAAAGAGACTCTACTGATGAGCAAATTAAAAAAGAGAACAATTTTATAAAAAAGGACTCTACTGACGAGCAAACTAAAAAAGAAGACAATTTCATAGAAAAGGACTCTACTGACGAGCAAACTGAGAAAGAAGACAATTTTAATGGAAAAGGACTCTACTGACGAGCAAACTGAAAAATACAGTAAATAGAAAAAGGACTCTACTGACGAGCAAACTAAAAAAGAAGACAATTTTAATGGAAAAGGACTCTACTGACGACCAAACTAAAAAAGACAGTAAATAAGAAGAGAATCCTACTAACGAGCAAACTGAAAAACAATTTATTAGAAAAAGGACTCTACTGACGAGCAAACTGAAAAAGAAGACAATTTTATAAAAAAAGACTCTACTGACGAGCAAACTGAAATTAAAAACACTTTTTATAGAAAAGGGACGCTACGAATGAGCAAAGTGAAATGAACATTTCTTAGAAAATAAAACTCTACTGACAAGCATTAAATAATAATAAATAAATAATTGTATAGTTTTTTGAGATCATTCAAATCGGACGCTTAGTTCACTCAAAAACTGCCATTTTGTGCACATTTAGCTCTGTATTTTCGAAATGACGGGACCTGCCTTTACCAAAACCTAATCAGCACATCTCCCTATCAATAGGGATCGAATGTGGACGAAAAAATGCAGACACACAAAACACACAAACACACACATCCTTTTAGTTCATGAGATATGCCAGTAAAATGTTCAAAAACTTCTGAAACGTTAAGAAATGCAAAAAATTTTCATTTTCGGTTTTCGGCCCATTACTAATAATAATAAATATTATTATGATTAATAATTCAAGAATTAAAAACACAGTTACTTGTTTAACACATTAATAAATTCAAGATTCATATATTAATAAATTTCATATTTATAATCATTAAAAATAAATCATAGATTTTTCTTAGAAAAGCATTAAAGATTTCAAAGAGCCGTTTTCTTGTAATTAACTGTTGACAAAAAAAAAATTGCCGATTGTTATGAATTTTTTTTTGATTATAGATACCATGGTCTTATAGAACATACTGAGATATAACGGTCCTACGCTAAGTAGTTCAGTTTTGAAAATACATCAAAGTTTAGAAAAATATTATAGTCAAAATTTGTGTTAAAAGTTGCTTTTGTGATGTGATAAGTCACTCAAGTCGATTAGAAATGATTAATTGACATCGTATCATTGTTTCTTGTAAGTGAATTTATTTTGATAAAATTTTTGAATGAATTTAATTTATTAAAATAATAATAATAATTATTATTATTATTATTATTATTATAGTAGTGGTTGAAATTGGAATTGTGGTTACTTACTGGAAATCCTGACATGCTCATTGTATGTGCATGATCGGCAGTGACAACTATAAGGGTGTCTTTCTGGTTTGTTTTTTCAAGGGCTGTAGTCACAGCTTTTGATAATTCTATGGTTTCATCCAAGGCTTTGCGTGGTTTTGTATCGTGATGAGCATGATCGATCCTTCCACCTTGAAAATAAAACATATCTAGTTGAAAGTGGCATTTTGCCTTAAGGCAAGTTGTAAAAAATTCCCGAAAAATGTTATAATTGACTTATGGGGCAATTCTGCCTCATAACGTTATCTTATGCTAGTTTCCTGGTCGTGAAACTGTAAATGTGTCTATCTATTTGCCGTGCGATCAGGCGTATTTTACATATAAACAAAGCAAGGAAGAATGTTATGATAAGAGTCTTCGATAACGCATAATTCCTTGCTTGTTTATATGTAAAATACGCCTGATCGCACGGCAAATGAATAGACATTTTCACAGTTTTCATTGCCAAGGAACAACCATAAGATAGCGTTGCCATGGCACTGCTATGTTATGAGAATCAACCGAAATTGATATTTAAATATTTAGGTGAAAATAGTCAACTGTTTATTTCAAAATTCAACTGAGTTTTTACACTTTTCGACAAGCTAGAAATGTGCAATTTTAATATTATGTTCTTCAATATGTCTATTATTAGAATAAATTTGAACATTTCTAATTTTTTTGCAAAATTTTGCAATATCGATATTAATCTTCACAAGTGTCCCTGCCATGTCAAGTTGAATTAGTGTATGTACGTCAAATTTTAAGTGATTTTTACTAAATTTCTTCATGTAGACCCAACCTAATATCAACATAATATTCATTCATATGTATATTGGGATGTCAAACACTAAAACTTGATGAGTTTTCTTTCAAAATTTTGCAAAATTGGCAACAATGTCCGACTGTGTCTGTGACATCTCAAGTACGAATTAATGTATGTACGTGAAATTTTATGTGATTTTAATCAAAGTTATTGCTCTAGACCTAACCTAATATTAACATAATATTCTTTAATATGTCTATTGTGTTGTCAAATACTAAAACTGAAGAGTTTTCTTTGAAAATTTTACAAAATTGCCGATAATGTCCACAAATGTTCGTGCCCAGTCAAGTTACAATTATTATTTGCGCGTGGGATTTTAAGTGATTTTCATTAAACTTATTGATGTAGACCTAACTTAATATCAATTTGACATTCTCTAATAGGCGTGCTATGATGGCAAATACTGAAATTGAAAAGTTTTCTTTCAAAATTTTGCAAAATTGCCAATGATACCACAAACATCCGTGTCATGTCAAATTCAAATTATTGTTTGTGCGTGGAATTTTAGGTGATTTTTATTAAATTACTTGGTGTAGATCTAACCTAATATGGATATCACACTCTTCAATATGTCTACTATGATGACAAATACTAATATTGATAAGTTTTCTCACAAAGTTTTATGTATTTTTAATAATGTCCATGGCATGTCAAGTTCGAACTACACTGTGTACGTGAAGTTTTAAGTTTATTTTAATGAAGTTCTTGATGTGGACCCAACCTAATATCAACATAATATTTTTTAACATGTCTGTTATGGTGTCAAATAATAAAACTGATAAGTTATCTATCAAAGTTTTATATATTTTTAATAATGTCTATGCCATGTCAAGTTCGAATTACACTGTGCACGTGAAATTTTAAGTTTATTTCAATGAAGTTCTTGATGTGGACCCAACCTAATATCAACATAATATCAAATATCTCCCTTCCGCCTTTTTGTATTGTAAACCAAGAGCAAAAAAGCGGAAGGGAGATATTTGACAACCTAATATGTACGTGAAATTATAAGTTTATTTATAAAAGTCAAAACATTGCGATTTTCAATTGAATTTTCTCAAATACATTTATAATATCTGTAATTATTAGTAATGGACCAAGTTAGTTACCTTCTACAAACAAAAAGAATCCATTATCATCCTTGCTCAAAACATCAATAGCCTTTGCAACCATATCGCTCAAACTAGGCTCCTTGCTCTCCAAATTACCATCGACCACATCCAAATGGTACTTGCAGTGATTATTCTCGAACAACCCGAGTAAAAAGTCAGTCTTGTCAGCATCCACAGCATCCAGTTGCTTTTTGTTCCAAACGTATTCACTTTTACCCTTTTTACCCATCTCGGTTTTCCATTCCTCGATCAAATTTCTACCATCGCTCCTTTGACCAGGTTCTTGTTCCTCATCGTAAGTATTGTTGGGTAAGAATTTTTGGCGTCCTCCGCCCAGGATGACTTTGAAGTTTTTACCAGGATCCTGGTGGATCAGCTGGTGGGCTATGTCTCGGCATTTTAAGGGATTTTCTGTCGAATTTAAGACGTCGGTGTCGGATTCCCAATCTCGGAATGCTGTGTGGGCGTAGTTGGCGCATGGTGAGGCGTGGGTGATTCTTGTAGTGGTGATGATACCTAGAAAATAGATAATTTAAAATCTAGTTAGATTGTTGAGATCAGTTTAGGGTTGTCTAGATTAGTTTTAGGTTGTTTAGATCAGTTTTAGGTTGTCGAGATCATTTTTAGGTTATATAACCAAGTTTTGAGTAGTGACACGGTATCGAATAGAATGAACCGATACTTTTTTCGTGTCGCTAGCGGTGGACTGTAGAATGTAAACAAATGCTGAAATTCATATGTCGTTGGTTAAAATTCGGCTCGAAGGATTATTATTTTTTATTTCTAAAAACTATATAAACTTAATTAAAATTTAATAATTAAATAGTTTATTTATATATTAATTATTATTAACTTCCCGTAGGGTAAGTTATAGTAATCGCAAAAAAATCGAAAATGAAAATTTTTATATATCTTTACGTTTTAGAGGTTTCTGAACATTTTGGCATACCTTAGAAAAAATGGATGTATGTGTGTGTGTGTGTGTGTGTGTGTGTGTGTGTGTGTGGGTGGTGCGTGTGTGTGTTGTATGTGCGGATACAAATTTTCGTCGACGATTTCGGGAACACGGATCAACCGATTTGAATAATTCAAAAAACATTCGATTTGTATTGATAAGGAGACGTGCTGATTAGTTTTTGGCGAAGGCAGGTCTAGCCGTTTCGGAGATACGGGGCAAAAAGTGCCGGAAACGGTAACTCAGTTTTTAAGAGAACGGAGCGTCCGATTTTAATAATTCAAAAAACATTTTACTTGTATTAACAAGATAAAGAATTGATCAAATTTTCATGAAGGCAGGTCTAGCGGTTTCGGAGATCTAACAAAAAAAGTAAAAAAAAAATGCTATTTGGCGGTCAAAAATGATCATTAGACATATGCACATCAAATTTTCAGATATTTTATAGAGATTTTAACAATAAGTATAAATTTTGTTTATTTTCCTATGGGTTCCGTATCAATGTTTACCCGTTAGACAGCGACGCCGCGCTTAAACGCTTATATTTTGTCTCTGTGCAATTAAAGCAGTGCGATTGCTTTGAAAAACAAGTTCAGATCTTCCAAAATATGTCAAAATAAAGAAACATTTTTTTTCAAAAAAAAAAAAAATTAAAAAAATTTTTTTTTAAAAAAATTTTAAAAAAAATTTTTTTTTTTCAAAAAAAAGTAATTTTTTGTCCATTTTATAGTTTCTCAAAAATCTTATTTTTTCGAAGTAAATTTTTTTCAAAAATGTTAATCGTTTTTAAAAATAATAATATTTGGTACGGGAAGTTCCAGCAATTTGCCTTAAGGCACGATGCCCTAATTGCCTTAAGACAGAATTCCACTTACAGCTAGTTTGTTGTATATTACGCTTATCTGCTTGTAATAACGATATTGGAGACAAAAGAAATTTTGTTGTGTACAAATATTTTGTCTTATTAACGACAAATTGCGACACGAAAAAAGTATCGATACCTTCTATTCGATACCTTGTCCCTAGTTTTGAGATGTCTAAGTTTTGGAGTGTCTAAGTATAGGGATGGATAAGTATAGGGATATTCAAATTTTTGGTTGGCTAAGTATTGGGATGTCTATCTCAGTTTTGGGACGTCTAAATAAGTTTTGAGATGTCTAACTAAAAAGTTTTTGGATGTCTAAATAAGTTTTGGGATGTCTGACTAAGTTTTGGGATGTCTAACTAGGTTTTGGGACGTCTAAATAAGTTTTGAGATGTCTAACTAAAAAGTTTTTGGATGTCTAAATAAGTTTTGGGATGTCTAAATATGTTTTGGAGTGTCAAAATATGTTTTGAGGTGACTAAATATTTTTTGGGGTGTCTACAGTGGTGTTGTGCTAATATTTTTTTTGCCGGAACGCTAAAATTAAAAAACCGATTCATAAACCGGTTCTCATGTTTGTGCCGGTTCCGTTCGAAAAGGAAAGAAACAAAAATTATTACAAAGCCCATTTTGCGCACATATATGTATGTTTATTATAATAATGGGAATGTTTAATAAAAATTAGTTCAATTATAATTTATTAAATTCACTTATAAAATCATTTTCTGTATGAAGCGATTTTTTTTAAATTTCTGGATGTTTTATTCGAGTTTTAGATGCTCTAATTAGATTTCTGATGGTGTGGTCAAGTTTTAGATGATCTGGCTAAATTTCTGGATGGTCTGGTTGAGTTTTAGATCTTCTGGTCAGTTTTAGATGGCATATTTAGATTTTAGATTGTCTGGTTAAGTTTTAGGTAGTCTGGTTATCTCTTATACAGATAGTCTGGATAAATTTGTGGATGATCTGGTTGAGTTTTAGATTGTTTGGTCTAGTTTTAGATAGTCTATTTAGTTTTCAGAAGTTCTGCTCAAGTTTTAGATGGTCTGGATGAATTTCTGGATAGTCTGGTTGAGTTTTAGATCTTCCAGTCAAGTTTTAGATATTCTGGTAAGATTCTGAATGGTCTATATATTTCTGGATGGTCTAGTTGTGTTTTAGATTGTCTGGTTAATTTATAGATGGTCTATTTAGATTTTAGAAGATCTGGTCAAGTTCTAGATAGTCTTGTTAGCTTCTAGATTATCTTGATAAATTTATGGATGGTTTGGTTGAGTTTGAGATCATCTGGTCAAGTTTTAGATGGTTTATTTAGATTTCAGATGGTCTGGTCAAGTTTTAGATAGCCTGCTTAGCTTCTAGATGGTCTGGATGAATTTCTGGATGGTTTTGTTGAGTTTTAGATCGTCTGGTCAAGTTATAGATGGTCTAGTCAAGTTTTAGATAGTTTGGTTAACTTGCGAATTCTCTGGATGGTCTGTTTAATTTTGGATCATTTGGTCAAGAATTAGATGGTTTTGTGGGAATCAATGAGGCCATGAGTTTGGAGAAACAAAAATTCATGTCATGACATTTTGTATAGTTTTTGATAATGATAATCTTTGATACAATTTTATAAAACATAGAAATATCTCTCTATTAACTCATATTTTTCTATATTGGTGACTTACGACATCTACAATGAAGATAGCAATTGAACATGGATCAAGAATTGAAAAAAAGTATAGACTTTGATGCAACGTCCTAATCACTTTTGGCTACTTAAAAGCACGCCCAGTCCTCGGCTCATCTCGGGTTAATGCATTTACTCTAGCCATGACACCGGACTTCCATTGACATACTTATTCTGTATGTCCAGGCCTCTGGTTATTGCTGACACCAAAAAGTTCACTGGAATCGCAATTCAACCTCTCCTTGTCCTTTAACTCACCAAATCGTCTTTTAATGCTTAAGACTTTGGAACTGGATCTTGATTGTATGTTGTTTTTAAAACTGGATTTAGATACTTCATTCACGTTGTCTTCACCGACTCCAAAAATTCAAACAGTGAGCTCTTATGAAAGTTCATTGAATCAACTGCTCTTATATATCCAACTGTCTGAGATACTTCATCGACAAGTTCGTATAATGATTTACTAACTTCGATGATTATGCCAGATGATTCATATCCAATTGTGGCGGACTACGATTGTGTTCATACCTTTATGAATTTGTATATGATTTCATGTGCTGAAAGATGCTAAATTCACATCTCTAAATCTGCCTTCCCACCAGATAAATACAACGTGTTGACGTGCATATTTGAACTAGTGCGATGTCAACACTGGACAGAGGGAGTATTTGTGGGAATCATGTAGGCATGGAGAAAATCAAAATATTCATGTCATGACATTGTGTATAGTTTTGATAATGATAATTTTTATAGTTTATAAGGTATTAGAAGGTATGGCTGAGTTTTATATCGTCTGTTCAAA